GTGTTGTTGTTTAGTATTTACACGGGTCTAAGGTACTACACAGTGGAATTTTATTAATACAGCTTCAAGCCTATGTGTAATTTCAAACATGATTTTTTTAAAATTATTATTAAAATAAAAATTGTCAGCCTCAACTGTTTAGTTTAGTTTTACTCAAGCTGCTTTATTAATTTAATCACATAGGTTGTATTAATGTATTCCTTAAACTAGTGGTGTTTTATTTGAAATCTATCCATCGTTCTGAAATTATCTTTATTTTTGTTCGAACACTTAAAGTTTTTACCTCTGAACACAAATGGGTAGTGGTAAACATTATTTTTGCACATTATCAATTTCTAATGCAGAGTCCTCTCCTGTGTGAAATTAAACAGTTGTTAAAAGATCCAAACAGCCTGGAACATTTGGTTTTGTCCCCTCCCATTACCAGACAGTGGATTGTTTACAGTTTCTTTACCGTCTCGATGTCGATCTCTATGCATGCTAGCTGCATGCCTTCAGGAATAGGTGGAAGGGAAGGGTCCTTGCTGGTGGAAAGGTCATTGTTTTACACTTATTCTTGGCTCCACATGTCATTTGTGTCACTGGACTGCATGTGTGTGCAAYGTCATTTGATTCTGTACCAGTTTCACCAACTGCAGCTTTGTAAGAACATTTTCCGAGTGTTATGTTATGTTTTTAATTCCAAACTGCTGCATCAAGCATTAAARCTCATCATTCTTGTCATGTGACCAATGCTTCTGTTTGTTGTTTTCCTTTTTTTGTTTGTTTTCTCCGCAGGTCATGAGAATTCTGTGTTTGCTGTTGGAGATGTTTGGAAGGTGGTTTTGAGAGGAATGAGTTCAGATGTTGATTGTTGCTCATCAGCCGGTCCCACTTTACCCCCTCCCCCATCATGTAGGGAGTGACTGTGTGCTGGACTCTCAGTCCTGATTGGTTCTTGTCTGTTTGAAACAAGCAGGATCAACACAGCAGTTTAAAGATGGTCATATTTCTGGTTTGATATCCATATTTTGTTCCTTTTTATCTATTTGGTTCAAACGTGTGCAGAAGACAGTGACTGCTTGGTTGTAGTTTAATTTGTAACTGTTTTTAGTATATTTTTTCTCCTTGCTGGTGATTGTTTACAGAAGTTTGAAGGTTTCCGTAATGACAAGACAATGCCTTCGAGTCTGGAACCATCCTGCAGTGGATCAGCAGAAGCTGGACCTTTAACAACCAGCCACCTCAGGTTGTTATCACACACACACACACACACACACACACACACACACACACACACACACACACACACACACATGAATGGATGCTTGCACAGTCACGTCACACAGTCATATTTGTGGTCACATACACAATCCACTTAAGGCTTTAAAAATAACAGGCCTGTAAACAACAAAAGGCTGCAGCTTTTATTCACCCTGAACAGTTAGACAAAAACCTGGGGTCACCCTGAGGCCTGCAGTTACACAAGACAATAAAACAAAGAGACGACTTTGGTTTTTCTGTTCCAGTGTTGTTTGTGTGTGAATAATAAGGTGTTCTTAATGCAAGAGTATTTGAGTTGCCAAAAAAGGGTTAGTGATTAAATAATTCATGGCTAAAATGCATTTAGTAATTCGTAAATCGTGTGTTTTGGTTCTCCAAGGACTCATCACAGTTAAAATAAAAAATATTGTACAGTGTTCTCTAATTAATCTTTTCTTCTTTGGTTTTCCAATTTTGGTAAGTGAAAATGTTTATAAGCTTGTGGAAAATACAGTTAAATACATAAACGACACAGCGAGCAGTTAATGAACTGCAAACTGACCAAAGCTGTTTTAAAAAAGTTTTTTTTTTCTGTGCTGATTATTTCTAGAAATTGATATTATAAAGCAGAATCGTTAATACCACTTCAGATTTGCAATCTGTAGTGTTTTCTGCAATTATCCTCAAGTTATAAAATTTTGCTACAGTTTGTTTTGTTCTGGTACATCAKTTTTTATGTGCACAATAAAGAGATGCATGAACACAATCCATGATGAATAGAAAATAATATGTCCAATATTTTCTGACATGGTAAAATATAAATGTTTCTAGTTGTAGTTGCTCTTTTCTGAGCGTTGAATCGTCTCTAATGAAACCACTTTGTCCGGACTGGCCTGATGCTCTCATTGGAGATGTGAGTTTATATTTTTGCGGCGAGATCCATTATTCCCAACTGAAATGCAACCGTTTGGTCTTGTTATTGTGGCACATTTGTCATTTTCAGAGCAGTGGTTAGAGCTGTCACCTCTCACACTTGTTTGTATGGAGGAGAGGAAGTGCTGGATGGAAGTAATGAGAGCAGATAACAATGAAGGAAGCAAAGCTGTGAAGAACTGAAGAACAATTAGAGATTTTTAGCTCTGAAGAGAAGGGAAGTGAGCATCCAGGACTGGACTGAACTGGGATTATAAGAAGTACCTTGAGAATGTTGTGCTTGTTTCACCCGTTCAGCCTGGCCCCTGGCTGTCTACAGAAACACGTTCTCACTGACCCTGAACTCATGGCTCTTTTCTTTACTGTCGAATGTCTTTCCATGACTGCTAGTGGTCATTTACACAAACACACTCTGCATACGTAGTCCCAACAACATCTCTGCGCTGTCAGTGGAGGTTGTTTGTGCAGAACTCAGTGCTCAGGGGGGATKCAAGGCTTCCTCTGTTTTATTCACTCATTGTCTTGCTACTATATCCTCAGCATTGTCTCAATAAGAGATTTACTGTCAGCGGCCGGCCACTCCAGCTGGCTTGTTACTAAAAAGGTGTCAAGGAGAGAAACCTGTCGTTCTCATTAACCCAACATCACAGATTCATACTGAGCGATGGCAAAAAAAAGGTTGTTAATCTTTTTCATATAACAGTTTTACAAGGTTGCAATAATAAAAACCTGTTTTGGTGTTGGTCCTCTTAAGAAAAACATGATATTTAGCCTGAATTATATAGGAAAAATGTGCAATGAGTGATAACGTCCGACAATAACACGCGATTCTTCCTCTTGGCAGGTATCATCTGGTGAAGTTGTTGGAAAAGTTTGGCAAAGTTAAACAGTTTGATTTCCTGTTTCATAAGTCTGGACCTTTGGAGGGGCAGCCTCGGGGGTACTGCTTTGTCAACTTCAGCACCAGAGAGGTATTTCAACAAAACCTAAATGCATAATATGTATCTGATCTTTCTTATCAATTCTTATTGTTCTTTTCCAATTCTTGTGTTTTGCGCACTGAAACTTTTTGAATTCATAAAACTTCGGTATGTAAGTTCTTTAAATCCATCACAACCGGTGGCATTAATACTGAATCAGGCACATGATTCACAAAAGGAGAAAAGTTGGCCTTTTTTAGATGCACTCCAACAGTCACTACATGTGTATTTTATCCAGGGCTGTCTGTTCTTAGTGGTTTAGATTGACATTAGTTCAACAAGTGTTATGAGTGGTCCACGAGCAGCCAGGACCTTGTGCGTCTCTGACTGACATGGACCGTAGTCCTAAAAACGGGAGTTGAAACACAGCAGGCTCAGCTTCACAGGTTCGTCAGGCAGTATTTGTTTTGGAGTGTGCCTGGGGATCATGATAAGCATCTAGTTTCACAGCCAGTGTCTATCTGTGGGATATGAAGCCCTCCCAACAGGATTAAACAGAGGAAGTGAGTGTTTATCTTTCACACTCGCACACACTTACATCAAGGCACAGCTAGATGGAGAAATTCATTAATGTAATTTGATATAAAAGCCACTTTACACATTTGATTAGACAGAACTGTTTTTCCCCACAGAGTCACCATCAGACTCGCACATCGTCGTCTATTATCATTTCTTCCGCCTCTGGATTGTGCGGACTAATGATTTAATGAGTCGAGTGTAATCACTAAGAGATATTTAAAGGGTTTTGTCCCTCCTTTCTTTCTGTCTCTCTTTCGCTCCTCCTGGTGCTCCTGCTGCGTGTGYGTGGTGGTCCGCAGGAGGCGGAGAGGGCGATCCAGTGTTTGAACGGGAAGCTGGCTCTGTCCAAGAAGCTGGTGGTGCGCTGGGCTCACGCTCAGGTGAGGGTAAGTGTCAAACCCGACCCGAGCTAAAAGTTTCACCAACTCACTCATTCAAACATTAAATCCAACAACATTAAAATCATTATGTCATCTGTTTTAATAGTAGTAACAGAAGAAACGAACGTGAGAGGGAAATGAATAAAATAGAGTTTTTATTTGAGTTGTGGTAAATAATAATCATCATAATTAAATGTTTTTTATCCATTTGCCTTTTGATATTACTGCTGCAATTCCTAGTTTCCAGAGATCCCTGTACAACCCAYGCCTGTCTCTTAACAATAGACAGCCTACTGACGAAGGGTGAAGGGATATCCTGCATAGAGACGAATCACGCCCTAGAAACACACACATACACACAAAGATGTGGTGGAGGGAGGTGAAGGTCAATGGTGCTGCCTCTTAGACAACATGCTGTTAGATAAATCTGCTCAGAGTCATTGGGATGAAGCTCGATTCACAAATCCAGCAGCTTATTATTGCGATGCTGTCACAAACACACAGGGTTAGATGTTCATTTCGCAGACTAAATAATTACTTATTAAAACTCCATTTTCAGGTATTGAGCTAAAACTGAGTGTGTCAGCAGCTGACACTCCTTCTCAATACATGCACTRAACCTAACGTGTCATGTGAGGTTTTTGTTTTAAACTTTGGAGAACAGGGTGTTGGGTGATACGCATTCCTTTGGGAAATGATAGTTTAATGTATTGCTAAATAAGGATGTCCCGATACAACTTTTTCACTTCCAATACAATACCGATAATGCTGCCTTGAGTATTGTCTGATACTGATATCAACCCGATACGATATCAGAACAAATCCAATATATTTTTCTTACCTTTTTTGTAATGTGAAATCTTAAAAAGTCTTGATCAGGTCAAACAGTAAACAAGAGTCAACAACAATAAGTATGAGAAAGACTGGTCTCATTTGTTATAATCCAATAGGTTACATATTTTTTTACTTAAACATATTAATATTGAACAATTAAATACAATAAATAAATAATAAAATAGAAGACCCTGAAAAACTACCTCAACAAATCCAGTAGAAACAAACTGTACTTTTAAAATGTAAAATAACTATTCAAGGTCACTTGAGTTATTTATCCTGGATCCAAGCGCTGCTGGAAAGAAATCCTGAACGGACTATTGGAGTGGACTGCTTGTATCAGAGTGCTAATATTGATGATTTTAAAGTTGACATGACATGCTTATTTTTCAAATACAAAAAGTAAAAGAAAACATTTATATTTAAGAAAATTAGCATAATACACATGATTTTATCCATAACTGGCATATTTTCTCTTGAATTCGGCTCAGCAAAGTGAAACAGGAAGTGACATCAAAGGGAAACTCTTTAAGAAAATAAACTCTGCGTTTATTGAAACAATCTTCTTTAAAATCTTCTTCAACTCTGATAGAGACTCAAAATAATCTAAAGAAACATCTGATTCTTCTCTGATTATTGTAGCATCGCTCTGTTTACATGCAAACATTCCCCTTTGACATCACTTCCTGTTTCTTCAGATGCAAATGTCTCAACAACTCTTCAACTCAACGGCGTGAAATTTGTTTTGCAATATGTTATTAATGCTCTTTTTCCAAAAACATATTCACATTTATTACAAAAATTTGATGTCACAGGCACTTTAAATGCAAGCTGATATTATCCGATATTCATTTTTTGGCTAATATCAGAGAGATATTGATATTGGATCGGGACACCCTTATGGCTAAATGTCTTTTTTAAGTCGAATTGAAAAATAGAGTTGGAGCTACTTATCTGACAATGTTTGTTAGCATTTCCTGTGTCTTGTTCACATTGTTAATTAAATGTTAGATGTATGGTATAAACACGACTCCTTCTTCTCTCCATTCATCTTCATATGAGATTTAATTATTACTGAAGCTGCAGAATAGAGGTCCTTTCTCTTCTCCATGCTGGAGCAGTATTTCCAACCTGTACAAACAGCTCATTGATACAAATATTTGTTTTTCTTTTTACTTACTTCCATCAAACATCTATATATTCTGTATAGTGTAGAATAAAGTAAGTTTAAAACATTAAAATCAAGTTACGTCATTGTACACTAACTCGTGTGTTGTGTGTGTGTGTGAATAGCTCTTTTAAAAGTGGTTTCACTCTGGAGGGATTCCACAGAGGATGTTTTAGCTCAAACCACAAAGTGGGTTTGGTTCCAGATGACCCACAACTACCCGAATGATAGTGTTTAGTCAAACCACACAAGAGCCAAAGCCTTGTTTTCAAGTGCCGTCCTGACACTCTTCATGTTGGAGATGGTTCAAGTGGACTGGCCTGTGGACCAGTTTTTACTCCATAATCTGTAAGATTTAAGCAATTTCTTTGCTGGGATCAAACAGTAAAGGATGTGTTGTTGTTTAGTATTTACACGGGTCTAAGGTACTACACAGTGGAATTTTATTAATACAGCTTCAAGCCTATGTGTAATTTCAAACATGATT